TTCTTCTTCTTCTTCTTCTTCTTCTTCTTCTTCTTCTTCTTCTTCTTCTTCTTCTTCTTCTTCTTCTTCTTCTTCTTCTTCTTCTTTTCATCTGCTTAGTCTATTCAAGTTATACAATCGGAAAATTCGAGGGAGGAAAAAGAGCCGACAATCATCGGATATTTCAAATGAATAATTTTCCGAAAATCTGGTTCATTTGAATTGGCTTTTGTTGCGTTCAAACTTATGAAATAGATGTATATTTATATATCGAATACATATATTGCCAAACTATCAAATCTTCTTATATATTGACCCGGATTTGTTTTCTTGCTGTAGTTGTGGTTGTTGTAATTTAGCTAGAGAGAAATAAAAAAAAAGGAAAACTCAAACGAAATACATAAAATCGATCGAATCAAAGCGATTCAAAGTCTTTTTATTCACTTAATATCAAAATGGAAAATGGAACTAAAAAAACACGTCTATCTATGAGCTAAATAAAAATATATATTTATATGTATATATATATATATATATTGTTGTTGTATAGAATGAAAAGGAGGAAACGAGTAAAAATCGTGTGTTATTTATGTTAATATTTTCATTGAATGAATGGTGCTGGCTTTTGTTGGTGAGCAAAATCTTATTGCATCTGCTTTATAACGTAATATTATTATATGTGTCATCATATTCGGCGAGTCTTGGCTTATTTGAAATCGTTATATAGAAAAGTTTTATCGAAATATTCAAAAAAAAAAAAAAAAGATTCGTGTGTGTGTGTGTCGCATCTGAATGAAATAAATCTAAAGAATACCATTCGAGCAACATTGGTTGTTTTTTAAAGAAGAAAATCACATAGTTATGCTAAATAGATCTGGTTTTCCTTCTCTCTCTCTCTTTTCAATTGAATCCAACTACATGTTCCACTATAGACTCGGAATAAAATCAGAACGAAATTTTATGACGAATGTTTTTGTTGCTTCTAATTTACGTATTTTTTTATGTATATTTGTCCTATTTCAATTGTTTTGTTTTGTTAAATTTTCGGTTTGCAATTCACATGTCAAATGAGATGGAAAAGAAGGATGACAAAAGTGACATCCTTTTTCGGTGCTCAATCTTATTTGCACTAAATCAGCCTTTAATTCTAATACAAAGAAATTACAAAACATGTGAATGTGGGTGTGTGTAACACGTTAGTAGACGTAGTTTTCTTCCTCGTCATGTATGTTTCTGTCTCTGTCTCTTTTTTTAAAATTATAACCCAAGAGAAACGGCCAATATGTATATACGCTGTCTATCCGCCGAAAATAGACTACAATATATATTCACGCTTATTGGACCAATATATATTCACGCAATATATATTCAATTCTGCGTCCAATAAGCGTGAATATATATTGTAGTGTATTTTCGGCGGATAGACAGCGTATAAACATATTGGCCGTTTCTCTTGGGAATAGATTCGACCAGATTCTTTTGTTTAAATTTTAATTCAATCCTCAAATTCGACTCAATTAATTAAAATTTACCAATATTTCTTTTGAATGGTTTTTTTTTCATCAGATTTTAGTACTGCTTAGCTTCAAATCAGATTTCATCGTGAAAATTATACAAAAATATAGTTGTGAATGTAATCTTCTGCGTGCGCCACTTGAGCGGATTTCTTGATTCCCTTTTCTTTTCGCTTTTTTTTTGTCTGCAAGAAAATGGTAATCGCCGACAGTGACCATGTTGCCTCTGGGCAAATCAAATGTCTTTAGAAAATCTATGTGTATGTTTCTCTCTTTTTTTCGTTTTGATTTTGCCAAATAAAAAGCAAAATGTGTATCCAAAAGAAAAAAGAACGGAAAATTATTACTACTTTTCTTTCTGATGGCCTGCATTTTGAGCTGAGCAATCATCATTCGCTCGAGGGAAATATACTATTTATGCCTACTTTGATTCTCATTTAAACCTACTCTCTTAAATTTTAATACATACAATTTGTAGTAATGCAGTTCAAATTGTAAAACACAAATAGTAATTTTTTTAATAGTTGTTTTTTTGTTCTTGTTCTTCTTCTTCTTGTTTTTTTTTTGTAAAGTTCTACGTATAGAAACCTTGGTAGATTAATTCGACAAATTGGAATCGCAACCTGGATTGAAACACATTTATGGAATTTTCGCGTATGCGTCCTAAGCCCAAATTGTTATTTCTTAATTTTTTCTTCATTTCGCACATCAGCTTGATCATATCCCTTCCATAAATGTGACGAAGCAATTGATTCGGTTTTGTTTTGTTGTTGCTGATTTTTTTTTTTTCTACACACGAAAATCATTTGGAGCAAAAACAGTTGATTTGGTTTGGTTGTTTTGATTGGCAGATAATTTAGTCCTCAGATGGAGCGCCTGGATAATAGTATGGCGGTGGGCGTTCGTATTCCGACGCTGGCGGCGCAATCGGTGGGTTTTGATATCGTGGTGGTCCACCGTTCCAGTGTCTGTAGATGAAAAAAGAATTCACAACGAAATTAGTTTAGACCAAACATGTTTGGAGTTGAGAGGGGAGGAAATGTTGCCGATTAATATATACTTTGGAGCCATGTCACTGTATCGTGCCTCACGTGATCCACTGCCGGTGTGATGTTCATGATGTGGCGAACCGGAGTCTTCATAGTAATCAGCCCGACGGTCTCGCGATGAAACACGACGATCATTTTTTCGTCGTTTATTCTTCGGTCCACTGCTTGAATGATTGAAACGAAAGTCAAAGCATTAATTGGTTTTGTTGAAAGCATCGGCCGACAACGTGGCACTGTTTCATTGCGCCATATTCAAATGTGAGTAATTTTTCTTCAGTTTTCTCAATGTCTGTGAAAATATTTGTATAGTTTGCGGTAATTTTTGCTCGTATGCTCCACAACAATTACAAAGTTACAAAAATAGAAATCATTTACGTATAATTGAATCAAATCGTGCACAGCCAAAATCAATTCATTCTTTTCGCTTTTATTTTTCTTGATATTCATTGTATGTCAATAGAAAGAAAAATATATACTTCAAATTCAAAATGAACGAAAGAAAAATGATATTCAAGTAAGAATATGTAATTTCCAAAGATATTCTCAGTCTCTCTTAATTTGTATCGTATTTCTTTGTCTCGTGCGTATGGTCTCGTTTATGTGCGCTTACTCACATAATCGTCGATATTGCTATTATACTTACTTCGCTAATGGAATATTATCCCGTTCACTGTAGGCATCATACAAATATTCTCTGTAAAAAAATTCCATAAAAAGCAAATTTTTGAAACCGCAAACAAAATATGATTTGACGACATAAAAAAAAATTATATAAAACAAAATACCGAACGGGATTAGAAATGAATTTCAATTTAATAAGATTAGAACAAAAAAAATGTGTTTTTTCTGCTGTGTGTGAGTGTTAAGAGAGAAAAGTCTAATTAAGTAATGTCATCGAATTTAAACAAAGAGAAATAAAACCAAATGAGATGAAAAACAAAGATAAAAACAGAAATTGAAGGATGAGAAAATGATGAGTGTGAGTGGCATTCCGGTACTAATCATCTGTTCTGTTTCAATATGTTCGGTTTATTGTAGTTTGTTCGTGTGTGTGTGTGTGTGTGTATTTGTTTCTAATTGTTTTGTTTGTTTGTAGCAGTGATTAGTGATATACAATTGTCTATTTTATTGCTTACAAACTAAAAAAAAAGAATTGATTTGTATGATGCAAGACTTGTGAATAATGTGAAGAAGATGCTAGAGGATGTATTCGATGGTGTGTATTCGTGTATCCCGTTTTGGCTTTCATGTGTCAATATCAACGAGTCTACTTAATGCAACAACTACAATTTTGTATGCATGTGAGTATTTTAAGGTGATCATGATTCGTTTTTCTGTGCGATTCCAAATAATTGCCAGAAATCAATTGAAAATATATGGTGCATATTGCAGTTTCGAGTATTTGGTTTTCTCTTTAAAAATTACTATAAATTAGCTTCTTTAAGGCACGTTCGAGTCAGGAATAGAAATTTAATGTTAACAAAAATAGAATATGCGAAACTGCTATTTGGTTGAATTGAATTCAGTGTGATTTGTTTTATCAAGTAAAAAAAAATCACGTTTCACCTTTTCCTTCACAAACACACTGCATGTAAAACAAAAACAAAAAACATAACATATTTGTTGTATCAATTACAATTCAGTATTAAATTATATAGCTTAAATGCAAACAAGTTAAAGGCACTCAAAATAAATTAGCACTGAAATATGTCATTTTGTGAATTCTTTTTTTTCGATAATTACAAAAAAAAAAAATAGAAATAATAAGAATTTTGTCTGTCGAACAGGTAAATCGCATGCAAAAACTCATATGGCCACATGCGTTAAAAACATGAAGCAAAAACAAAACAAATCGTATTTCTGACCATATTATATTCTAATGTACCTAAAAAAACAATTCTACTTTGACTCTCGCATTTAAAACAACTATCGATTGTTCAGCATAGTTTCTTTTGTATGTGTCTGTGTTTGTGTATCATTTTGTTTTTGTTTTGATGTTGAATACTTACGCTTCGACCAATGGACCGGGATACGGGTCAGATTTTTGATATAAACTAGATAACTTTAAACTAAATATTATTGCCGGTAAAAATAGGAGAATGCACGTAATGATGCCGGCCCATAATCCATTCTGCAAGAAGTGAAACAAACAAACGATATCCAAATTAGGCTTGCATTTTAATCGAAGCGGCGAATGTGTCTCAAGAGAAGAGAAAAAGAAGAACTTACCAAAGGATTAACAATTCGATTGCAACCGGCCACGACTACCGATTTGTAGACATTTGCCAGTGGACCGCAACGGCCTAGCTCGTTTTCGGTTTGATTGACCACATGATTTAAATATGCGTTGATTTCCTCTTCGAAACCAATGACCAACTCATTTGCAACCTGTGTCACACATTTCAAGTAAATTAATAAAAAAAAATAATGCATCGATTGAACGTTGAACCAAATTCCATTTTCTACACGTATGGAAATGATATCAATTGATTGATCCCAATGATTGCTTACCTTTTGTACAAATTCCGTCCCTTCTTTGTTGATAAAATCTTGAGCGAATTTAATTTCACGGATGAATTCTTCGAGAGCCACTTTGAATGAGCTACGATTGAATTTAAGATTTTCCTCAAGGCGACGTGACAGTATGAGCATTTCTTTCGTTTGTTCTGTCATTGGTGTGACCAACTGCTCTTGATAGACGCGCAAATGCAATGCTTGATTCTTTAAAATCGTCCGAATGTCACTGTATTCGGAATTTGAGGAAATTTTCGTGGCAGTTTCTTCCAATTTTTGGGCAATTGTGTTGAGGTTACGTTTTGTGATTTCTTCGTTTAGCTAAGTAGAGAAAATTAAATCATTTTCATCATAAAATTTAGATTGAAGACATAAAACCAGTTCTAATCATAATAATCAATTCAAAAGTGTGCTTATCAAAATGAATTGAACATTTAAAACGAAATTGGACTTACGTTATCGGTAAATTTATCGATATCAAAATCTTTGAGACCGGATTGAGCAAGTCGTACAATTGCATCGTCAACGTGTATTTCAATGCTTGGTACCTCAACACTTTGAACGAGCTTCTGTAATTGGGATTTTATCTCAAATCTATCCGGATACGTTAGTATTTCGTAGATATCATAATAATTTCGCAAATTGAGCACCTAGATTACAAACGAAAAATACCGGTTAGTCAAACCTATTCATATTTTAATCATGTTTATTAGTATTTGAAAGCGAAATTTACTTTATAGATGGAATTATTACGATGGCACGAATCGATCACTTGGGATATTCTCAAGGGTTCAATTTCTGGTGAACGAATTTTCATCCGTTGTCCATTGGCGTAAATCACTGTATTCAAGTCAATCACTGGATCGATGTAATTCTTGAACACTTCGTCACTTCGATTACTGTGAAACAAGACGAAAAAAATGATAATTGAGTTACAAATTGTGAATACAAATTGTGAAATGAATCAACCATCAATTTAACTCACTTTAATGGCACACAAGCGCCTCGATGCAATATCAAGCCGCCGAGGAAAATGACAATTCCAACCGCTAATAAAATGGATGTTGTCAAAAATATGACAGTAACAGCGCTGCAATAATATTATGAAATTAGATGATTATGAATGCTGTTGGCCATGGTGTCGATGTAATATATAGATAAACTTGTTTATCCGTTTGACTTACAGGATCAAAAATCGTGCTCCGGCTCCTTTATTGCAGCAGTCATCGCCATAGCCATCTGGTCGTTTGCCGCAAATACCGCAAAGTAATCCGCAAACAATGCACATTAGCACCAGCAAGAGGGTGGAGCACACAGCAAGCAATGCATAATACACGTAGATATAGTATTCTTTGATATAAACATCGGCCGTGTTAAAATGCTGCTTCGTTTGACCGGTCACATCCGACAATCGAGCCAATGTACGTTGAATTTCCGATGAAATGTTCCGCATGGCCGTGCCCGTTTTACGAATCGAATTTGTCACTTGCGGGATGTTCGAGTAAATGGTTCGATTGATGTCATCACGCAGATTCTCCAATGTATGCTGGCTGCGTCGAATTGAATCAATTGTGTGTCCCGAATTCAAATCATGAACACTGGCAATCATTTCGCTTACATCCGGCAACTGTTCGATAGTCAAAAGAAAAAGCCAAACAAATAAATGTTCGGTCCGAATGAGTTTTGTGTGTGTTTTTATTTTTCTTGGACAAAAAATCGGAATAAAAAAAAAACGCATTCTGACTGGAATAAGGTGTTAATTGTTTTTGGATGAACAAACTTATGGAATTGAACAAAAAAAATGTCGTCATGGATTCAATGAGACGGAATGAATTTCAAAATTTACAACGGATGCAAAACAATAATTTTAGAGATTAGAATAAAACCAAACGAAAGGTATACTATCATCGAAATGCGATAAGAGAAAATTAATGGAAACTGAATATCCGCTGGAACGAATTATAGAAGCGAATTATTCAAATCGTGCATGAAAACAAGCAAAAACAATTCGTGAAATGAACGGAAAAATGAAAGAGAGAGAGAGAGAAAAAAAAATCAAAACAGTAGAGAACGAACAAAGGCAAGCATGTTTAAATTGCAAAACAAATAAGTGTACAGGAAAAAATGCAACAATGAATTCACGAAAGAGAAACCTACCCTTGGAAAGTATCGGTCTAACATCTTTGTGTCACAATTAAAATTACAACCAAGTATGAATACACAAAAAAAGAGTATACATTGAATGTTAATCACAATTAATCATGAATCGATTGGATGAAAATGAGTTATGTGTATGAAAAATGTATTTTTGTTGTTGTTGTTGTTGTTGTTGAATGAATGTTGTGAGTTATTTTGCATTATTTGAGAAACTTTTTTTTCTTCTCCATTTTATATTTATTGGCAAATAAGCAGTTTGGCCACCGTTATTGAGTCACTATCTGAGACTTGTATCAAATTTGTTTTTTTTTTGTTATTGTTGCTGTCTCTGTATCCCTTAATCTGGAACTCTGCAGCTATCGACAGCTAGAATCTATGTGTGTGTGTGTTTTTCTCGTGTAGCTAATAAAACATTTTCATTGATTAATTACCTGATCGTAATCAATGCCATTCACATCCAGCTTTCCGATTTCATACTCTTCGAGAACCTCTTGACAAGCTTTAACTCTCTGACATTTCGTTAATGCTAACAGCAATTCACGTTTTACGCCTCGCAAACCTGTTTGACAACAGACAAACACACACGAATGTAATAAACAAAACAAAAATTCGATTTAAATTTCATTGTTTCATCAAATACCAATCGTACTGTATGAAAAAAAAAAATTTTTGAAAAAGAAATACAAATCATTTACGTACCGTCACTCAGTTGACTTGCGTTCACTCTCAGTTGGCCCGTAATTTCCTTCATCCGATGTAAATCTTGTTCGATTTGCGGCAGCGTTTCGACAAATGTAGCCAGTTGAGTCAATGAAACCGCCTTCGATTTCTCTTTCAGCTGGGTGATCACCACTTCGGCAGTATCTAATGCGCGTGCACAGCGACAAAGAAAATGCGAATAAATGAATGGCAGTTGAAAATTACGCGAAGCCCCCCGAAAACATGAAAATGAACACGAGGAGCATTGCAAATAGCCACAGAAACACGAAGGGGAAAAATATAACGCTGATTGATCAACAAACAATACAATCGGATGATAAATCAGCGAACCCAAACTCTTACCCATTAGCATTAGTTCCAAATGATCGGTGAGTTCATCGTAATTTTTCACCAGAATGTGATTCGATTGAAGCGATGTTGATCGTAGGAATTCCTGTGTATCGGACACACCATATCGTGCGGTTGTCGTTGCATTTTCAATACCTTGTTGTAGCAAATAGTTTGTAGCGAATGCGACAATCACACTGAAACTATTGTTTGGCCAATGGCAAAAATGAAAACCGGAAAGGAATGGAAACAAAAGAGCGAAAAAATTGAATTGTTAGTCTCTCGTTGAGATTTATTGCTTCTTCATCGAATGGAAAAATAGAAGAAAAACGCTGCAATATTACTTACACTAATCCAGTCGCGACGACGATCAAGAAGAAGCCGAGGAAAATCCGACGGCACGTGTCGTGTTTCTTATCGAATGGCTGAGAACGACCGCCACAAGCACCAGCACATCGGCAACAGCAAACACACAATCTAAATGCAGATTTATGACATTTAGTTAAGACATTCTGAATTGTCCAGCGAAAATCTCTCTGGATTTTTTAATTATCCGACGAAATTTCCCATCAATTGAAGCGATTGAAAGTCAATTGTAAAACTTACCCAATGATTGGCATCAATGCGATCATTAGTGCGGCAATGAAGACCACCAGCAGAATCGCCCAATAATGCTTGACCAAATCAACCCATTGATGATCACGTACTTTCTGTCCCAGCGTCACATTCATATTCGAAACATGAATGTAACCTAAATAAAGGGAATAAAATGCTGCCGTTAATCATTCGCTTTTGATTTTTCGTTTCTGTTCAGAAAACAATTCCTTATAAATGTTCTACATTGCGATCACATAATCGAATCAAAATAACCAAATTTCGGTGTGTCATTAGTCAAATGCATGGGCAAAAAAAATGTCGAGACCAGAAGCGACCGCCACCATTGACGATGGCACCCACATAACATGAAATGTCATTGTTTATTCTTGACGACTGACAAATTTTCTGACCCGTTAAATGAGTGTCGCCGCGCTTTTATGCACAATGAAAGAATGTATTTAATCATCATCACCATGGAAGAAAATGCTTGGTAAGCCTTTTCGAACAAATGGCCGAAACGTGTGGTGGAATCGCGACTAGAACGACCGTTTTGCATTGAACCAACCCGATATCTCTTGTTTCTTCTCTCTTCACCGAACGAGATTTATTGTTTTCAGTGGAAAGCACAGTAATAGCAATATCGGTGTGTGGATTATTTAATACATTTCAACCATGAAATTCTCGCACAATGAAACCAATTCGTTCGTTACAAAAATACGATGAACTATTCAAATTTTTCGTTGTCATGCATTTGGTTTTTTCTTTCACTCTTTTGTGCTTCGATTTTGTAGTTCAACGTCGTTTGTTTTGGCGATGGTTATTGTTTTTTCTCTAGTATTTTATTTCGCTGAGACAGATTTACGGAAATGTATTTGTTGTGCGTGAATCAAGAATGTTCCAAACGTACACCAGTGTGAATATGCTATTGTAATCTAGGTGGAAATCACTTTAAGTCAACTTACCATCTGGGACTGGTTTTTTGCCGAGGAAAAAGTCTAAAATAATGGTTGTAAGGTTGTACAATGGCTCCATACCCTTTGGATTCGTCATGGCAGTGCTGTTGTATTTGACTTTTTCATTCCATACCGAGAAGTTTGCATCGCGAAATTGAATGATGCGTGTGTTTTGGGGTGATTGTAGGTCGGCATTTGTAGCCAGTGTCATCGATGACAGTGCACCAATTAGCACTACACCGACGATGATGAGCATTGTGTGCAACGGGACCATTTTCAATTGTTTGTATGCCATTATTCTGCGTTAAATTGTCTTTGAACGTTTTCTTCTCGTTTCCTTTTGTTTTAGTTTGTCGTTTTTGTTTTACGATTTAAATTGAGATCTGCAAAGAGGAAAGAAATAAAATATGGATAAATACAAATTTTGCAACGTGATTGTTTTCTTCTTCTCTGTTATGAACGATGATTTTATTTTAAAATAATGATATTCTTGACGATTGAGCAGAAAATGCATGCCGTTTCGTTAATTTAGTTTGTGCTTTTGATGTGCAACCCGTATGCATAATGGCAACGAATTGGTGTAAAAATGTGTGAATGCACACGGGGCGAGTGTCCCTAATGCAAGAATCGAAAGCAAACGATTATAATATTGGGGTCATCAACCTGCCCGTGCAACAGTAACTACCTTAATTTACATGTATTCATTGGGCCGAGAATTGTCGCATTCATCATATATGAATCATTCACCAGTCGTAGAGAGTCTTACAGAAAATAAAATTGTTTTATGTCTTTTTATTTTCGCCGTTTGTTGGCTTGGCTTTTTTTTCTTCTCTTCACTTCTCTCCGTATGTAAAAAAACGGGCGTTTCATTCATTCAATCTTCTTTGCATTTGAATAGTTATTACGAGCACAGAATGTCTAGAAATCACGCAACCGAGCATTTTCAGAGCTGTATTGTAACAACCATACACACACACACACACAATATGACTAATTTGATTTCGTGCTTTGAACTACGAACAACGGAATTAAAGCATGATAATTAAAAGTTAACATATCAAAAAAAAAAATATTATAATAGCAAAAATTCTAAGAGGCACACAGTTCATTGTCACCACTGGTGTTTGTTGATTGTGATAAAGCTGTTGACGAAATGACTAGAATTGGTCAGCGGTTATAATTTTCGTCGCTGCTACTATCGTCGGAGTCGTTGTCGTCGACATTATTATTGTCATTCAACTCTGTGTTTGTGCCGTTACAACGTGAGCTCGAGACCCGTTTCATTTACGAAATTATGCCCATAAATTCAGAATCATTATGAGTAAAGTAATTATGACATGCACTAAACGAATAAAACGGTATACAGCATTTCGTTGAGGCAGAAAGAGATTCATTAGGCAAACAAACACACACACACACACACGTGCTTTGCTTACCTTCGTGCTGCAATCCAAATCATATGCCCGGCGGCTTCGAGGTGAATCATATTGTTTGTATTTACAATTTTGATTTATAATCACTTTTAACGGAATGATTAATCCCCACAATACCGTTTCATTTCAATTTCAATCGAGATTATTCGCCATTATTGTGTATCAAATGATTGTAATTCGATCATATAAACGAGTTGCGATAGAGTCGAGTGTATGAAGTGTATTGATACAGCGCATGTGGACGTAGACGAGGGTCGCTTTCATTTTTAATGACGGAAAGTCGAGCAAAAGACGTTTTCTAACGGATCAATTGCCCAAAGGTTTGACTCTGTTTTTTGTCTTTTCTTCCATTCATTCGGCTTCATCAGATACATATATATGTCAATGGTTGGAATTGTATTTGATGCGGATGTTGTGAGTAAACCGTCGAAATAATCACAATAGATCGTATTGTTTGGTTATTTCGTTTATGTGTACAAATTTTGGGCAGTGCGTAAAAAAAGTGCGCGTATGACTTGGTAATTTTACTGTTGTGAATTTGATGAAATATTAAAAACGGCAAAAAAAAGTCAGTCAATGGAAAGGCCGTACATGAAATCGATTTTTCTTACCAAAAAAGAGGGGAAAAAAACGACGCGCAGACACACACAACAGCAACAAAATAAAGAAATCTCATAGAGCAAATGAATTGTACACATTATAATTGCCCGTTCACTTTTTTCATCCGTTTGCGTTGAGTGTATTTGTTTGTTTTTTTTCCTTTTGTTGGCACTTTCTTTCGAGTGAAATCGCCAGACATTTAAGTGATTCACTTTCATGGATAATGTCATCGAATCGTCGCGTATTTTTGTTGTGATCACAGGCGCACCTCGAAAATGGCCAAAAAATGCGTACAATTGTTTCGACGCCCAATATTTTGGGTTATTTTCAGCGCATATAATTTATACTTTTGGCAACAGTGTCAGTAGCGCAAGTGCGTTAGTTGGCTTATTTTCAACGAATTTGGAACAGCAACAGCAGCAATTTCGGACAACGTCAATTGCAACATAAATCTTGTTATGACCAAAACTTTGCACCAAAACACATATATTTTCAAAACTGTGTAGCCCATAAATCCTGAGTGAGTGACAATAAAATTTTAAAATCTAACAATTTACGACAGCATTCCGGTGAATTTGTCAAAGCGAATTTAAATTCTTTGAGCTAGAGAAAGTATAGAGCACAATATACACCATGTCGACATCCGTTGTTTATGCATTCGCCGAAAACGTACTTTGCATACGATGTTTTCGCGTATTGCACTGCTTGTGGCATTTGTAGACAGTTTCAAAACAACGATTGAATTACAATTTCTAACAATTTTGGTATTTTTTTTAACGGTCAGGTTCACCGCTTTCGCCATCATTCTATTCCATTCGATTTATTGTGTGTCTTTGTTTGACGATTTGAATGACCCATCCCCACTTTGCATGGCATCAATCACTTACAGACACTTTTTTCTCTCTTCCATTCTCGCTTCTGTATTGAATTTAGAACGGTTTATACTGTTCTTTTTCGGCACATCACCGCAACGTTTTTTATGCGGCCATTTTTGTTTTATTCAGCAATTTGTTCATGAATTCGGGCAACCGAAAATACAATGCGATTCAATTCAATGATTTCGAACAAACTGCAAAAGTCGTTTAATTGAAAAAGAGGAAATTTCTATTTATGCGTGGCCGAACGTGTGGATTAAACTGTCCAAAATTAGAACATGTAAATAGAAAATATGTGTCGAATTGTGTTGGTTGCGTTCGCACTCACTCACTCACACACACACACACAAACACGCGCGCGCCTGTTTTAAATCAACGATACATAAATAGTGTGCAGTGTGTATGCCAAACACTCGTTCATGTGCCCAGATCAGACTTGAACAATTTTTTTTTTCAACTCAAACATATGAATGAATTCCGAAAAAAAATTGCGATTAAATTGTATTTTGTTGATGCTGCACTACTCACCCAGATCGTGTAACGAAGCGTGATTTCGAGCAAATAAGGTGAGCAAGCCTTTCATGCAACAAAACCTACGTCTAATGGCACATATTTTGCTCGGTACACCTTTTTTCATGTGCGTTTTTTCTCTTCGCTCTCTTGGGAGCTTGCGCGTTTTGTTTTGCCTTTGTCAAGCAATTTTTTTAGATATAATTCACATAATTGCGCCAACCAAAAATAAATAATAGCGGTAACTATAATAATAATACAATGAACAGAGATTAAAAGCACCACACTCGTGTCAGAAAAAGGTAAACGTTTTAGAAATATGCAATGAAATAGCTGTCTTTTGCTGGAGTTTATACGAATTGTTTGTTGTTTTTTTTCCTCCTCTTTCGTATGTTGTTTGGGTGTAGGTATACATAAAGTGTATCAGAAGCTAAGCCTCATTCCATCTATCATCACTTCAATGTGAGAGCGCGCCAAAGAATGAGAATGAACGATGATTGCTTAGTTTATAATTAATTTACTGTAATCAAGTTATTTTTTGAAGCGAGAAATAAGAAAACGTTTGAGGGTTGGATGTGGTATACTCATCAGTCATGAACGCAGTGCTCAAACGCAATTTGTGACAATTGCTCTTAATTTGGAAAGCGACATTTTTATTTCTCGTCCTCCCTGTCGCTCGCTCTTTCTGTCTGGTTCTTTTCAATTTGTCTTAAACGGCTTGACACTTTCGCACTTTGCCGATAAATAGAAAAAAAAAACGTTTTTCTCCGAAGTGGCACAAACTCCCGTTAACTTAACGATCAAACTTTTTTTTTGCTCTCATTTCATGTATGTGTACTGTACCAGGGCGCACCACATTTTGCTGTTCCATTTTTTTCCCCTCTCGCTCTCTTTCTGTCTTCCTCTCGTTAATTTCATTATATCGAGTATTATGCAACGTTGACGTTGCAGCGATTAAAAAAAGATATCATAAAAATCTTGGCATGGAGTTTCGTTGGCAAAACACTTCGACAAAATGGTTTGAGGGCATCCTTTCATTCGGCATATCGTCGCATTTCAATCAGGAAATGCCACAGTAGTAGCGAGTGGCACGTTCCATTTTTTCACGTCATGGATTGAAGTGTGACCTGATTTTCGTGCCATCATCATGTAGCCAGCAAATTCAATTTGTGCACCTAACTACATGTGCGGTAATGAGATTCCCGTGCTCCAAATAAATCGACATCAACTATGTGTCATTCCATGTAATTCGATCGACTCTGCCGCGCTTCAGATTCTATCATGCGTTATTTGCGCGAACACATATAGGTATATATGGTTGCGACTAATAAAGAGTCAATTTCAGATATTACAACATAATTAATAAAATTCGCAATGCATATTATGTTATCGCTATTTGATTTTTTTTGTTTCATTCAGCCACGGGCACTGTGCTCACTAGTTCAATGTCAGTCGTTTTGATTTAGTTCCCACACACGAAAATAAAAACGATATCAACATTTTGTATAAACAACAAGAAAAAAAACCGCCACAACAAACAAACCAAAACGAAGACGCACGAATTAGTGAAATAAAAAATCGAAGAAAAAAAAACTCAACAAATATATGTGATATACATAGCAGCGGAAATAGATATATATGTAGCTATGTATAAATATACGAAAGGAAAAAAAAAACAAAATTAGTGAGAGTATTGAGACAGAAATGTAAGCATATTTTCTACTTGGTGAAGCATGCACTTGAATTTTTGCGCTCAAATCTCGTCGGCTATATGAATAATAACGTGTGAAACAAGCATTTATAAGTCCATTTGATGCGTGTATACTTCGAGTTGTGTGTGTGTTTGTAAGTGAAGTTCAAAACGTAATGATTACCATGAAATTTCCATGGGTTTAACGATCGTTTCGTCGATAAATGCCAACTTTAGACCACAAAACAAAAGCCCATTCAAAATGGTCACAGATTTTCGATTCAGCTGGTTCCGTGTGACGTTTTCATTTTGCGTGTATGTGTGCACGATTTCGCGTAGTTCAACGTGCGGATAGAATGAATTCAATACGCTTTATGGTTTCGTTTTTCTTCTTCTTCATTTTTTCGGTGCTGTATCGAAGATCAAATTTCGCTTAGTTCAACCGTCGAAACTTGCTGCAATGAAGGTCAGTCAAGGTAGTCACCACACTTCAGTGGCTATTTGCACCGTGCCGTACATTTGAGTCTTGAAGCATATACGAAACATTTGGCGCAAAGTAATAGTTTCTAGACATGCGGATGGAATAAATGATTGCTAATGAGGTAATCTTGTACTGAAATCTCTCTTGAATGCTTGTACATCATAATAGCTACAAAATGATATTGCAACCCAAATCGGTTTGGCACATCGAAGCGAATACGACTCGATGATTTTTTCCATTCAATAATTTTGATTTCGTACTCGGCAATTTGGTTGTTGTTGTTGTTGTTGTTGTTTCATTGTTCTTGTGCAAATCAAAATTAAATCCATCCAAAAAATAAATTTCCAAATCGAAATAGAAATCGATTTGAAATATGGCTGGCGAAATCACTGTGAAAACCAAATGGGAGTGTTTGTTGTGTGAGTAAATTTGAATTGGCACGGAAGTTGTCCAGTTGGTGATTGTTCTTTCGGTACGGAAGTTTGGGTCTGTGAAATTCTCTCAAACTCGGTGTGTGTGTGTGTGTGTTTTTTTTTCTGGCGAGAGCAAATGGAAACAATAAAGCGGAATTTATTGCTTTGGTTTCGGGCTATATTGTTTGGGCCGAAATTGAGTTCGGCTCTTTTTTTTTCTCTTGCACTCCTTTTTTTCCCTCGAATCAATAATCCAAATCTGCTTCTAGTCAATAATAATTCGTCCAGCGGCAAAATAACACAATTCGTTCCCTTTTTGGCGAACAAAAAACTATTCAATGATGAACATACAATGTATGAAATAATCATTATTGCCATCGATCCATCCAGCTACTGCTGTAATTCGTTTGTGTTATTGCGCTCGGCAAAATTAAATTCGAATTGAACATTTGGCGATGGTGGTGGTGCGGCTGCTTGTTTCCCCGTTTGCCGCTTTTAATAAATTTTCGAGTCGATCGAAATATGGCTTGCACTTAAACGGCACAAACACTCGGGCATCAAGCGACCGTAACAAAGGCCAAAAACATAAAATCGTGAATAACGCAATCACATTGACGATCTACACATTAATGTAAAATTCAAAGTGGACGTTGCCGTTTTTTGATTTTTTTTCTTCTAACATTTTAAATCCAGACGGTGAGAGAGTTGATAGCGACACGTTGTTTCGACTTGTTAGACATGCGGCAACACAACTCAAACGCAAAAAAAGTAAAACCGTTGCCAATCTAATGCATTAAACACGAAATTTATTTTTGTCATATTTTTGCCTGCGATTGTAACGGGGCAACGTAGCAAGCGAGTGAACGCGCTTGCAAACGGGCGACACTCTCGTCGTCATCACTCGTTCGTTTGATTGAAATTAATTTTTAAACGGTTCTTGTAATTCAAGCGTACATTATGATCGAATCTTTGCCACGCTTGAGCTAGAAAGATGCGAACGGGCGCGAGAATGTGAGATAGGAAAATCTTTGTTTTATTTTTCTGTTCTCAATATACTGATGAATAATAATCAGTATATACGAAAGCAGCGATAACAACAACAACGAAGTAAATGGCCAGCGTTGAGTCATTAGCATCTCACACGTAACGTTTCTGGTGTTCGCCATTATCTTTGGGTTTTTTTTCTTTCCTTTTCTTTTCTTATATTATCAATTCGTCGTCTTTTTCCATTTGCATTTTTAAGCCGTGGCTAGAGAGGCATAAGAGTCTGACTTGAAAATTGAAATGCACAAACTATCGCAGATTATTAATAGACTGGTTTATTGGAATCTAGTATTATACAATAGCCAATCTTTTGTTTCATTCACTTTGTCTCTGTTTGCGTCTTTTCTAGCGTGTCAATCTGGTTGATTTTCCCATTTATCATGGGTTTCTTGGCGTTTTGTGTTTTCGGCATTACCGTCACAAAGTTCAATTACACTCTCCAGCACACATCCAAGTTATGGCTTATGTGATTCATATTCAGCATGAACTCAAGGGAAAAAAAGCGAATCACTAATTTTCCGTAATAGCAGAAGGCGCTGTGCCATCGCACACACGGAACCATCCAACAGATAATTTTCGAAACGGAGAAGAGAATATGTGCGCTTAAAGAAAGACAAATGCAACGGAATGAAATGGTTCGTTAAATATTTTTCATATTACAATTAATTAGTGAAAATTTAGAGTCGCGCACACACAAACCCACTGGATGGAAGCAAGAGAGAATGGAACACATGGTTGCTAGCGCATACGCACACAGAGCAGCGATGGCAATAACTGCCAGAAGCTATTTGAATGCGATTATAAAACATATGCAGCAGCAAGAAATGAGAGAGAGAGAGAGAGAGAGAGAGAGAAAAAAACGTGCATAAATTCGACCTCCTACTTTGCAAATGCGAACACAATAGCACTGACAGCTCACACATTTTTCAGCCATTGAATTTTTCACTCTCTCACGATCGCAGCAGCAGCAACAACGACAGCAAATGAAATTGTAATTAACAATATATTCCATATGTTGGGCGTCCACTTGATATGGGTACTCAAACAATTAATGTAATGAAAGAAGATGCAACGAGGATGAGCGTTGACTTCTCGCGACTGATGAAAAAATGAATATGGCAAAAATGTTCCAGTTGTGAAAGCCTTTGCCCTATGAAGTTGACGCATTTAATTCAGAGAATAGCCTTAATGTACCTTTGAACATTCAATATAAAAAAAACTGTTCTTAGTTTTTATCTTCAAATCAAATATCGTTCATTGTGTGAATGTCTTTCAAAACCGCATTCAACCTGCATTCGCCTGAATGCCTTTCCATTCGGATGGTTGGCAAAGCAGCAAGTGCACGACACAAAGCAATTGTCTGATTAGAGATTGTATTTCCTGTCAATGAACAACACGAAATAAGCCTTTTGAGAAGCCAATACATGACAGCAGCATTCTCTGCACACACATTCGTTTCGGCTACGTAATAATATTTGAGTTCGCGCAGGCATAAGGCAACGACGAATATGCGGGATACAGTTTGCTCGTTTGTTCATTTGCCCGTGATCGACAGATCGGCCAACCAACCAACCAATTTAATCATAAGAAATTGGATAAATTCCGTTGAAATGGAATCAAATTCATCTTCATTGCTTTTGTCCGATTCTTGAAAATTATGCTTCATTTTCTTTATCTCGTCGTACGTTTGATCTCATTTCATTCCGGCTACGAATTCGAAATGGCTAAATTCATCTTAATTCATGCATGAATTGGGACGAATGTAACAATTGACTCCAAAAATAGGAACAAGCCATGCCATGCCATTCATATATTGATTCCAAATGTGGCCATTGTTGCTATTCACAGCGAGAAAAGAGAGAAAAATGAAAACAGTTTGAAAAATCTCTCGGATCATCCAACTAAATCGAGTAAGTCGAGGAACAAACAAGGAAAACTTTTTTTCCATCAGCAATTGTTTTCACAGTGTATCTCTTCCTCAATTGTTGTGCTGCAGTTCAGTGTTGTCGTTTAGTGTGTTTTTTTGGTCGGTCTAAATGTATCATGATGAGAGCAAGCACTTTCTTGGAAATGTCTTCGTTTGAAAGTTGATAATTTGTTTTCAGGCAAACGCGCCATCCGATAAGGAAACAAAACCAGTCACTTTGGACATAGCAACTAGTTTCACAATTGGATAACAATTAGCTGAAACCATTTCTCAAGTTGGTCATTGCTTCTTTTCTCACACAAGTGTAAAAATTGAATGAACTCTAAATCGAAAAGAAAACTCATGACTCCGATGCACTGGTTGAATCGTGCACCAATTCAAGGTACAAGAGAAATTTCTCGCCATCTCTGTCTCTACAACGGGGGCCAGTTGAACACATTCTCTTGAAAATCGGAGTTATCGAATTATATATTTTTATATAATATAAATCTATATTGAGAAAGCGTTTAGTGATACCATTTGGAATGATATGTACGATTTCTGATTTGACAGCCCGTGTCACTTGAACACTGGCAATATTTAATTGTCTTTCTCTTTCCATTTATAAACCCAGATCATATTGCCGTAGCTGTACATTTTCAATCCATTTGTAACATACGGAGCAATCGTTGCAATTTCTCAAAGTGACATTTCCTCACGTTTAGCGCTACGTTTTTCTTTTCTCCGTTCGGTCGTGAAACCGGCACAAGCTTTTCTTTTCGCACTCTTTTCAGTCTGGCAAACTGTGCGATGATGCCAACAACCAAATTCTGTCATAAGCACAATGAACAAAAACGATTAAATATGTTCTGTTTTCTGATTGTTCGGATTAAATTAAAAGGTCGATTCGAAACCTTATTCGAACAACAATGCACAAATGCCGCTCATTTTTTTCTTGTTCTCTCCATTAAAATGAGAAAGAGAGAAAAATGGAAAAGAATCAAATGAAAATACGATGTGTTGTGCAGTGTAAAAAGGTTGTTATTTTTAAATCGTATCCGTTGATACGTATTTAAACTTTTAATCAAGCTAGGAGACATTCAGTTTTGTTTTTAGCAACAAATGAATCAAGCGTAAATGGAAAACAACAACAGCAACAACAAGAAAAACGAAGAAAAAGAAGAAACGATATAGAATCTCATCGCATTTAGTGTAATAGATATATCTAAAACTGAGAGAAGCCTGACAATGGCGCGATAATGCTGCCTCGGAAACAAAGATAGTGAATGATGTCTGTAAAAAGTCCCTTGAACATATCGAAAGAGCAACAGCAACAACTGATGGGCCATACAACAGAAAAAGTGCATGTGGTCTACGCCCGTATCTCTCTCTCTGTGTCTCTCTCTCATTCTTTTTCTGTGTTGGTTTAAAAGGCCTCATTTTCAACATTCTGTAACCATTTCGATGTAACTTTCCAGGCATTAGCCTCCTTTTTCTCTTTGTTTCTCTCTCTCCTTTCTTTCTTGCTCTTGCGTAGTTTTATGGCCCAACTAGCATAGATGTTTCCGACCCAAAGTTCAAACTATGCTGTGTTACTCGACGACATATTTTTCAATTGTTCACGCTTCCTCGGTTATTTCACAATTTTCCCAATTTTATCACGCACCGTGGAAAGGAAATTCATTTTATGACAAAAATATCATGTTATTGTTTGGGATACGATGAGATTAGTTGAATAGCAAGAGATAAGATAAAATAGATCGCCAGCATTGACATTTCATTGAGGGATTAGTGCATAGTTTTCTTTTCAGATTCTTGACATTAACGTGCAATAATCATTGAAACTGCTTTCGTTAAATAAATAAAGATACCGAAAACCGTTCGACAGCAGTTTCAGTAATGATGTCGTCTTTATTTGGTAGCCTGAACACGAGCAGCACACATCATTTATTTATGATATCGTTGACTTTGTCATTCGCAGTTTGTTATTTGTTTAATAGTATTATGTCATCGAGTGCAATGGGGCCTGTTTCAACCGAAACTGTTGTCAGTCATGTGACAAACGGCATGTATCGAGTTGTTTATCAGTTGTGTTATGTGTATGTAAATATCTATCATCTGGCCAGATAAGAACCGTTCACCAACGGAATATGCCTTCTTAATTTAACATCAAAAATGCGTCGTCATTTCCTCAATGCCGCTAACTTCCATCTTAAATATCAATAAATTATTCGTATTAATTTGTTTCTCTCATTGGATGTGTTTCATCTTATGATTTCGCTAGATGCTCAGCCATAGGTGTTGCATTGTGGATTAGAAATGCAAACAACGGGGCTGCCGCTGAATCAAAGCGACGGCCGAATGCACGTGATTTGTAAATAAAATTTAGTGCAGAGCGATTACATGGGTTTCAGTGTATCCCTGTGTATACGGCGCATTTCATTATTAAGTAATTTATCATTTTATGGGCTTTCGTTGCGCAAGTTATACTTTTTGTTTTGATTCACACTTCGAACAAAACGAACGAAAAAAAAATATGGGCATGAATAATGTAAAAATATATACGTTCACACATAGATGATCGAAACATGAGCGCAATTGCAACGGGAAAATCAGAGCAAACGATATCACATCAAAATTTGTGTGCACCACTGGAGTATCGGAGAGCAGCGTCGCACACAGGTGATAGTGTTAATGATTTGTGTTACTGTTTTCGTTGTCGTTCATTGCCTGCGAATGTACCGTTAAAATGAGAGAGTGCAAACTCGAATGCGCAATTACATTTCACGTTGATAAAAATAAAGTGTTCTTTTTTTCTGCGTGCGAATGAGTGAACCAAATCTGTGCAGCGGTTTGTTCCAGCACAAAGTGAAAGAGACACGCATAGATCATTTCATTATGACTAAATGTATCTTGTGTGTATTCGTTATGTTCTCGCGCGATGCGGATAACGAAAGAGATGTCGATGAAGAGCAACAATAATAACAACAACGAAAAAAAAAACGCACGTTCAATTGCATTTCATTTACAGCAGCTGTAACCTGTACGTGCTTGTCATTTACCTGTTTTAGTTTAAGTCGAATTTTTTTTTCTCTATTTCTCTCTATTTTTATGTTGATTCTATTTGCTGTTGTTTGCTGTTTTACTTCTCCTCTTCTACTTTTTTCATTTGTTGCAACTCATTCAATGCAAAGTATTTGTTTACCAGCCCATTATTACTGCAATCGGAGTAAAGAATGAACGATGTTAAATGTTGATATAAAATATATTTTGTATTCGTTCGTTCGTTCATTCTTCCACTGCGGGGCATTCGCTCTCCGAATAATAAACAATTATTCGTAATTGTGCGTTCTCTTCTACGTTCAATCAAACAGCCATACGAATATGGATATATATATATTCTGAATGAGTAATAATAGTAAGAAAATCCATATAAAAATAAAAACCACAAAAACCCGAACGGAAGACGCTGCTGCAAGCATTCATTTTTTTTTTTTGGTTTTGCATACTCGTTACATGATTCATGATGTGTTAAAAGAAAGAATAAATCTTGTTTTGAGGAACAACGAATATTTTTTTCAGTTCGGTTTTTGTAAGTCTTTTTTTTTTGAAGGGTAACACAAAATGATTTTTATCGAGAACTTAAGCATCTATCACGCGCATCTTGACGATACTTCAGTGAACCTCTCGCCAATCAGATCATCGGTGAAAAATAACACATACACACACACAGAGTGACAACAGATATAAAATGGTTTGAATGCGATTATCTTGATTTTCTTGGAAGTGGCTCCCATTTTGTTGTTATGATTTTATTCGTTGTGTCTTCGTGGTTTTTTTCTTTCGGTTCACTCTTTTTACCCTGCTTACGGTAAAATGACTCATCGAATTGAATAGCAGGAAGAAATACATCATCACAACTGTTTGATGTATTGAAAAATCTGCGATACCTGACTGAACGCAATTTAAATTTGTTATTTTTTTTCGGCTCCAAAACAAATATCATAAGAGACACTCATATATCGTATTTTCTCATTTTCTTTAGCATTTTATATTTCTTCGTTTGCCTAATATACATGTTTGGTTGGCTAATCACTTTTGGGTATGAATACGGTTTCATTTGATATTTTCTGTACTCATTTGGACAACAACGACCGAAATACCAACAACACTTAATTTTCGTTGGTTGATTGACTGAGTGAGGTAGAGAAGAGGTTTTGTTGGATGGTTTGACGTGAACTTATAAGTGTAGGTAGCTCATTCAAATTTGATCGTTGACTATGATAAATAATCCAACAGAAAATGAAGTTGCACGCCGCCTCTATGTGCCTACTGAGAGAAGAGAGCGAAAAAAAACGCCAACCCAACGAAATAAACGTGACGAAATTCATTACATCGCTACAGAAAACTTGTCTATTCTTGCCCAGATTCTTGAAAATTGCTTCACATCGTTCATTTTTTTTTCTCTTTTCTCTATCTATATGTCTTTTCCATGCGTGTACATCAATCGACACGATGAGATTACTTTGTAATTTATATATATATATACGGTTTTAAGCATTAAACGTCAAATATTTTTCGATCATTTTCATTCACTTGCTCTTTCCATCCCGTGAAGTTGTTGCTTTTTCTTTTTTGCTTTTCACGATGATGAAATTCTCATTGCCAAATGTAGTGACTGTGAATTTTGTTTTGAAAAACTCTCCTATTATTCTAGCTTAACATCAATTCGAAACGTTTCGTTCCATCACAAAAAAAAACCTTTGCTACTCAATCTGCTTTAGCATTAAGTACAATTAGTTCACGAAAAAAAAAATGCGAAGGAACACAACGATTCGTCGGAATATGGAATCGTGTTCAAGTGCTTACAGTGAATGTTGATCAGAGAGTCAGACAACACGAGGCTGGGCTAGCAAAACTATGCACACAAGTACTACAAGCGCTAATGACTGTGCGAAACAAACGAACGACCTGTACAATTAAAGTTGATACTTTCTTTCGCTTGTATCCATTTGACGCGGCGAATAAATGCGACTTCATTGCGAAGAGTTTGTTTTCTAAAATTCGGTGAAGGTTTTCATACTATTTCATGGCGTCCATCGTATTAATTAATACCATGGCTGACTTATCTATCGAGCGTATGCAATTTAACGTGATTTTCAATTTTATTATTAATTTTTCTCTCAATCAAATTCAATGATTCCCCAACCGAACGACAGCGATAGCCCCAACTAGGATGAACTTTAATCAAATCCATTCGCGTTGCGTGTGTGCAACGCAATTTTAGAAAATTATATAGACAGAAAATGATTTATGCTTGTATTTGTGGGTGGATGTATGTCTGTTGTGCGAATTATCAATTCAATTGTGCTACTTCGTTTTAGATTTTAATCTGAGGAAATGTTTATGCACTGTCATCAGTTGACATGCAACCGAACTTGCAACTTGATATGCATATTTATTGATTTCATGTTTATATTTGTCGTGCAACTGCTGCTATCGATGGTCATTTGTTTAAAAATGAATCATCCGTGTTATTCTTTTTATTGTTGCTTTGCACCCATGCCCATAATCAATTCCATGCGATAAAGTCGTTGAATTCCCTTTATTCATAATTCAAAAGTGAAATTTCTTACACGACTTGCACCGATTTGGCTTTGATGCAAGTGTCTCGACACACACACACACACACACGGCACACACGATATCGATTTTCGTTGAAATCGCAAACCGACTGCGTTAGTGTCATGTTTCTGTGAACACTTTTCATTCGGTCTGGTGAGAATAAACGCACTTATACGAAGTCATGCAACTTTGTGTACACACAGATATCTTGAAGGCCTGGAGATTTTCGTTTCATTTCATTTTCCCTTCTCACTCTATTCGAGTGGATAAAGGTTCAAAATAACTTTCTAATATTTTAGTCAATGCTACGGTACAGTAAGCAAACATTGTAGTCCAGATTTATTTTGTGTCTTAATCTTTGGGCACAACACTTCACATCAGCCGAAATGTGTGCGGCAATTAACTGCACACGATATCTATAAGTGTGAATTCGGGGAAAATTGGAATCTGAACAAAACAAGCCGTTATCTCTACACTACTAAAAAAACAACGATAACATTTCTAAAGGTCGCAGAAAAAACAAACAACATTCGATTCGTCCAAATTTTATGAAAATATCAAGTACAATAATCCGCTTATCCACCTGTCCCGTAACACGTTGCTAACGATCAAAATTGGAAAAACTAATAACCAGCTACATGTTTAATCAACAAATGAACTTTCATTAGTCTCAAAATCTAATTTACAAATTCATTGCATGGAATAATTTCCATCAGTATTCGTGGAGCGCGTGAATTCGACATCGCCTGACACTCATAATCGAATAATATTTTGTGAAACGGATTAATAATTTAACTCTAGGTATCTAAATTTAGGGAATACGTCAACAAAAGTGCCTCACCCATTGGAAAGAAACATGCGACTGATTCATTAGAATCAATGAAAAAAAAATATGTTAATTATTTGGAAATGTCAGTTGATTACGACAAATGCGATAGCGATAAAAGTTAAAGGAGCCGCACACTGTTTAAAAGTTAACTGCTTTCGAGTAAAGTTATACATCGATAATTTTTTTTTCTTTCTCTCTATCTCTTTTGACAGAAAATGTGGGGCTGTCCCCGGTTCCTTCATTGATCAAGATTAGCCTTAATTACTGTTGTATGTGTGTGATGATGTGATGCCCATTTTGTAACAATAACGATGCTTCAATTACTATCAGTAAAAATTAAATCGGATTTTCAGATGGGCGAACTCAAGTCATTGAAGCGTGGGCAGCAAACACTTTTCGTTGCTCGTAATCACAACCGACTTTGAACTTAATTAAATGTGTTGTTTATTTGAATGCTGTGGTATAGACTGTGTATATGGGGGGAGCGAAGGAGAGAGAGAATCAAAAATATGATTTGATGACAAAATCGGCAAACTGTGAACGCAGAACGAAAAAGAAAAACAAACTGCTGTTGACAAAAATCCATTATGAAATGCTTTTAACGAATTGTGATTGCCACTCAAATAATGATGAAATAAATTACGCTCACACAATCAAATTGCCAATAATCGCATATTGATTAATTGCTTTTTCTTGTACATTGTATTTTTTTTCATTGTAGATAATTCAATTTTTGCGTAAAAAGAAGTTGCCCTGCGATTCGATTTCCACGTCACATATGACGTGAGCGTAAGAATTGAAATCAACCAATGTATGTAAATTAAGCATTTTATGGTCAATCTAACCGTTAACCGGAATGGTAAAAGTGAATAATTGGAAAAAAAGAGAGAACAAAACCGGTACACAATTAAAATGGTATTTCGTTGACGTCTCTCAGGTATATGAATTTGGTTTCGTCAATCTAACATATAAATGGATCAAAATGAAGTAGGTCGACGCATCAACGTCTTGCGTTCAATGCGACATATGTTTTTGCATGCTTATAGCCTGCAAACTCTTGGTTTGGCATCTGTGTGTAAGCATTGAATGTGGTCGTATGTCGAATGCTCGAGCAGCAGTCAGCAATTAAAATGAAACATCAACATCAACACACTCCGTTCAGCTGTTGTTATTCGTCGAAATGAAGCATCAGCAAATGACAAAAACATGGACACTCAAATGCATTTCCAACGAATGAAAATAAGACAAAATAATAAAGCATTTTTCGGCCATTGAAACTCGTAGATAAGAACAGTGCGATGCCCATAGTATCAACGGAATATTCTAATGTCAGCCTTGTCGATGTTAAGTGTCAAAATTTTCTCAACATAATGCATATTCACTTTAGTTTATATATTTTTCACCATCGCATTTTCATTTCAGTATATATATAAGTGTGTGTGCAAGTAGATATGAGTGTCTGGATAGGTGTGTGCGTGTGCCAGTCTCCTTGCTATGCCGAATTGTGTATCCGCCATGACTTTAACGCAGGGCATGTGTACCACTCTGTTCATGACTTTGTTGTTGTTTTATTTTTTCGAGTGTTTGCATGTATTGGTGTACATATCAGTATATCGAACATAGTATCTGTTCTAAATTCTGTGGGTATGCATGTCTCTGTGGCTACTTCGTATATATGATTTTGATGTGGGCTTGAACTCTATTCCTCTTTTGGCTATGTATTCAAACATCTATGGCATATTATTTTGGTATATCGCTATTGTTGCTGCTGCTGCTGCTGTTACCACTACTGTTTTGGTGTAAAGTTGTGCATTGATTACAAGCTAACCAAAAAAAAACACACAATGTACAGAATGCTAGATTTTTCAGCGTAGTAACATAGCAAAGGGCAGGGCAGTATCCTCTTGGTCATCCAACATTGTGTTTTGACATAAATTTATGAGAGCGAAGAAGAGAAAACCCACTTGAAATTAATAAAAAGAAATGTATTGGCCCATTTGTTTTGCATTGGCCAATTATGAATCTCAATCTGTCCAAGACCTCATTAAATATCGATGACCCGCTTCGATAGATTTGTTTTGATTTTTTTCTTCTGTTTTTTCCAAATGTGCTCTATGCCATTCTCTGTCTCCTATGCGCTTGGCTGTACTTTACCGATACATTCAGTCGTAGTTACCGTAAACAAAAGTACGAAAATATGCATATACCACTCGCATCGCATAAAATAGCTTAAATGTGCGTTTCGCTGCATAAACAGCGACATGAAAAAGGGAATTAAAGCAAATTACCTGAATATCTTTTTGCGTTGTACGTCGCATATACCGAAGAGCGAAGAAATTGGAAATCACAGTCAAATAGATGGTGAAAAGTTTGTTTTTCCTGTTGTCGTCGTAGTTGTTGTCGTCGCAGTCTTAAATTGAAATACCTCCGATGTTTAATTTTTCACGCATTTATTTATTTTTCTTCTTCTGATAAATGAGCACAGATTCTCGTTCTTCTCGCTCTCTCTCTCTCTCTCTCTCTCTCTCTCTCTCTCTATTTTCGATTTAAAATATTTTTTCGGACATCATTTCTTGAATGATGATAGTTGCAGCGAACACACATACACTCTAGTTTGATTTGCTTTCGTATCCGATTCGAACGAGAAGCATGCGAAGAAGTAGAAAGAAAACAACATACAAATCGGTTTCGAAATTAATTTTGGTCGATCGTCTTGAGAGTCTTCATCATTCTTTAATTTCGATTCATTGTGGTCGTCTTACGGCCAGCAATCAACTGCTATTGGCAGACACCACCCGATTCCGAAGAACAACAAAATAAACAAAAGAACGAAACAGAAACAACAACAAAAAACAATTAGAGACCAGCTAACGACATACACACTTCAGCGCTGATAGAGAGAGAACGTTCGGCAAACACGGGTGCAGCCAAAAATAAAATAAATAAAATACACAAATTTCCGAAGAAAAATCTTCTTCTGCTCTCTTGTTCTTCCACTCTTGTATCATGAACTTTTGTTCCACTTTTTTTTATAACTAGATTCTCTCTCACTCTGTCTCTTGCTTTCTGTTTTTTTTTCTGGATGAGAATGATGATGATGTTTCCTTCTTCTATCTGCGTGTGTGGATACACAACGAAACAACGGCAAAATCACCTAAAAACCACAACTGCAGTTTGATTCTTTTTTGGGGCGCACTAATTTTTCATATCGAATGATGTAAATGTGCACAGAAGAACTGTATATAATGTGAAACTGTATGGAAATGGATTGTTTGATTGATTTTTATGTCATTTATAAATTTTGAACTATGCACTCCGTTTGGCTGTGAAACAGACAAAGGAACTATCCGACATTTTTCGCCCGACGTGCAACCACAACACAATCGACGACCGTTCTCGTCTATACTATTACTGTGGACTGTTTAGCTCGGTGCTTTTTGCTTTTGCTTTGCTTTTGCTTGTGCTCTCTCTCTCTCGACACTGCGACCATGTCGTTCACTCTTCTTGTGAATCAAACACATACACACGTATGCGCCATCGCAATACGCACACATTTATACACACACAGAAATGTATTGGCTGGCTGTTACCGTTGATCTCTTTCTCTATACACACATTTCACAGCCATCCGCTACTTCGGTTACTATCGCACCGAATACGTTGAACCGTATTGAAAACAAAGTGGACGAACACTTTAATGCCGCAAAATATTGTCATACATTTGAAATGCCGTTCACAACGCAACCACTTATAAAACATGCACACCAACTAACGTGCAATATTCGTTTGTGTTTCGTACATGCACACACATGGCGATTTGCGAGCAACGAAATTGATTCAATTGAAATCAGGACTCTTCGATCGTTACTCACTCATAATGTATCTAAAGATCTTTACCCATTTGGATTTGATGCAAACACGGCCGAAGCATCACAAGTGTAAATAAACTTTAGAATGTTTCGCATTAGACACATGCATTACATCGCTCTATTTATATATAGATAGACAGATAGCATAGACTGGTTGCCTGTGTGCTCGCGCAATTGCATGATGGCAACATAGTGAAAGGAACGATTTTACTTGACAAGTAAACAATATTCTAGCAATGCACTTTTCGAAGCGCGGTGGCCGAGATTTTGTGTTGACTTTGAGATTTTGATCGTAGGCAATTTTTTAATTGGGCGTTGTTTGATTTTTCTGAAAAGGAAAATACAAAAAGGAATAAAAATAAACTACGAATCAGACGTCTTACGTTTACAATTCACTTGATTTTTTTGTTTGACAACAAAACGGATTGACCATTTTATCATAACCATAACCAGAAGAATGAAAAGAAAAATATACAAATTCTGTTCTGACTCACAACTCTAACGATAATTATCAACGATGAAAAAAGTAAATTTGACGAAACGACCCAGTGCTGTATGGTGAGAGCGGTTCATTTCAAATTGTGACTTTTAAGCACATGTGAGCGCCATGCTCATGTGAGCAAATCATCGCATCGGAGGAACGCACCCATTTGGCGCAAACTTCACAGCATTATCGCCGTACATGATTTCAGTTTTCAACTTCAATGTGAAACACACATACATAAATTGTGATGCATCATATTCATAGGTAAATATTACTTATTAATCCAATAAGTTTTGCTCGTCGTTCGATTGGTGCAGTTTTTCCTATCGTTTTGTTATTTTATTGCGTTGTGAATTGTGCAAAAAAAAAACTATTTAATAAGCAGAAAATAAAATTTCAATGGTATTTTGTTCGTTTTGTGTGTCGATAAAATCAAAAATTTTGCAATGCCACTGAGCAATGTGTCTCACGACAATGACTGAAATCACTCACACCAAGTCACACACTTTCATATACAATTCAGTATTTTTTTTTTTGCTAACACAATTCATTTTCTTTGCTTGGAAAAGTGCATTCTGTTTCTTTTTTCTTTCATCATCATCGTCACATCATCATCGAGGTGAAAATATTGTTCTTTGTACTCGGAACATGAACAAAGCTGATGGTGTTTGTTTCTTTGTTGTTTATTATTTACGTATTTGTTTTTTTGATTTCTCATTTTATTTTCCTAGAACGAATGTTAGATTGAATACGGTTAAATAAACATAAGAAAAATCCAGTTTCAAAGTGAACACGGCTATGGCGATTGAACGTAATAATTTCGGCGGGAGTGAACAAACAACCGACCCCGAGGAGAATTTAAACCGTCTGAAGCACATTTTGGAGCATCTCACCGATTTACAAGACGATCCCATCTTCGATGACAAGCAAATTCAAGACGAATGCAATCGCGTTGTGCGTGAGCTTGTAATTATTAGTCCAGTACCAACATCAGCGACCAATATCAAAGGATTCCAAAACTATTTGAATTCGGTGGGCCAATCACTTGAGCGGATCATTCGACAATCGTCAAATCCGGAACAAATTTTCATCGGTTGTCTTCAAACACTTTACTGTCTCCTAGTTTCGAATGGTAAGCAATCACATGTTACCTGATTTGCGCTGCTCAAAATGTGACCTAATTGACAATTGTTGTTGCGCTCTACAATTTGATCTGATTAGATTCACCATCAGCGGGAAGTGGAATCATTTTCGATATATACGACCAAGATTCGATACCCAAGGCAATCAAATTGTTGATCAAAAGTACAGCAAACATGGGTGTCGACAATGACAATGACTTCAAAAAAGTTACACAAACATTATGCACATGGCTGCGTACGTTCAGTGGACTGAAAAATCTAAGCCATTGCATCATTTACTTCCTAGACGGATTACGAGTGAGTAAATGTCTTTGTAAAGATTTCACCTTGTTTCCAAATGTCTTTGAAGAAAGAAGAAATGTGATAAAATTTGTTTGAATTTCGAATTCGGCAGGACCTTCAAAAATACGCACTTCTTATGGAAATCGCCGATTCAGTGATCGAAAGACTGTGTCTATCACTTATCATACCCGTAGTTAGGCCAAACAGCGTTAAAGTTTTCTCACACATCCTTTGCTCCGCACAATCGAGGAAGCTGTTCATGAAAATTGTACCACGAATTCCGAAAGTGTTTCAAAGCATCCAGAGCAATATGAATACATCAAATGATCCATCAATCCCGCCGGATGTGCAATTGTTCATCGATTTGGTTTCGGCTTTTGTCCGCCGATATGGTGAATACGATTTGGATTTCAGTGAAATTGTAAGTATTTGTGTCGATGCAACTGTTGTTACAACCATAAGGCTAATCAATTGAATGTCATTTTCAGACGACCATATTGAATGGCTACAAAGCATCGGAGAATGCAGATACGCTGTTAAGTGTGAAACCATGGCATCCACCAATCAACACAAGAGATCCAGCGACGCCAATTGGACTGGTCAACTTGGGAAACACGTGTTACATGAACAGCGTACTTCAGGCTCTATTTATGACAAAAGAGTGAGTTCATTGATTTAACATCAGAAATAAATGGGATTTTCTTGATCTCGAACTTCATTTTTCAAAACAGGCTCACTCATGACATTCTCTTGATGAAATTGCCGTCAAAAATTATCAACTACATTCAACAGCTGATTTCTCTGTTGTTGTACTCGGTACGGCAGGAGCTGGCACCGCATGACGTACTTGGTCAGCGTCCGAGCAGTTTTCGTTATGGTCATCAGCAGGACAGCTTCGAATATTTGGGCTATCTACTGGACCAATTGCACGAAGAGGAGAAACGATGTCTCACCTCGTCGCTGAAACCGAATGACAATGCGAACGGTAAATTGACAAACGGTAACCTCAAAATGGAGAATGGCAATGGTAATGCGGAGCAAATGGATGTTGATGATAACAATATGTTAAATCAAACGATTGCTATTGACTCACCACCACTCACCGACGACTCAGACGATGCAATCAATCCGGATGATTCAAAGGCGGCCGTCACCAATGCGGTCCGAACAATGATCCAGAAATTGTTTGGCGGTCGTTTGTCTGTCAACTATAAATGCCTTAATTGTTCCACACAGAGCACAAACATCGACAATTTCTTCGATTTACAATTATCATTTCCACAACTACAACAGTCGACCGGCGATTCGTTGAAAACGAGCCCATTAATCGATAAAACTAGCTACACAACACAAATGCTACTGAACTCATATTTTGCCACCGAACAAATGATCAACGACGACAAATACTTTTGTGATAAATGCAAGGCGCTGTGCGATGGCGAACGTCACATCACACTGGAAGAGGGCCCATCGAATTTAATTTTGGTGATTAAACATTTCAAATATGATCGCAACTATCATGTGCGCAGAAAATTATTGCATAAAGTGCATCATGACGAGGTGATTTCACTTGTGGCCCGAACAAAAGACGGATGCTATCGTATAAAGTACAAATTGTATGCGGTCATTGTGCATTGCGGCATGAACATCGATTCCGGCCATTACTATACATTCGCAATAAATTCATCGGATGAATGGTACAAATTCAATGACAGCCACATCAGTCGCAGTTCGTTTAGCGATATCAAAAATCTGAGCAGTTTGAACACACCGTACATTTTATTCTACGAGTTTGTCAACAAGGAGAAAATCACCGAAAGCGATATCGTCAATCAAACGGATTTGGAAACAGCCACACAGCTAGCAACAAATGAGATTTCACGCAAGCGAAAAGCCGAATCGCCCCGTTTTGACGATCTACCACCCAAATTGCAGGAGTTCGTTAACCGAGACAATCGCACATATGCCGACCAGTTTCGTAGCAAATTTCTAAACGGCAACGAAATGGTCAAGAATTACTACAATAAACATCGCAAATCCGATAATGACCAAGATCCACCGAATTCCTGCGGCGGCAACATTGTTGAACCATCGAACGGATACATTTACTAAAACAGCGCCAAAACCGATTCCGATTTCAATGCGATAATCAGATTCCGCGTCGGCCATTCAAAACATACGTTATACGTTATACTAGACTACTAGACACCGGCTACTTGTTATTATTTATAACTTTTGTAATAAATCATGATAATTTGTTTGTAAAATAATGAAGAAAAAAACAACACAAACGAGATAAATCAAATGTTCTAGGAATTTATGATAATAAAATAAAACAAATTTCAAATAATTATCCACCTACGACACGAGTGTTAACTTTCATTTTGTGAAGAATATTTGATTTTTAAGCGAAATTTTTTGGACAGGAGGAAGCATTCTTTTATTACATACGATCAGAAAATGCATGTGTAATTTATCTCATTTTTTTCTTCTGTCTTTAATTTCAAACAAGTTTTATACATCACTGCCTTCGGCAAAGTTGTAACATAACACACCTTCACTGAAATTTCCTCAGCTGAACAGTTGATTGGTAAATTTTGATGATTTTACGCTTTCTTTCCCTTTGGATTGTGATTGGAATTCCCTTCCTTTGAGCTACCAACGATATTTTATGCATCATCGGTCAGAATTTTAGCCAACTGTTCAAGTACATCAGAAAATCCATCGGTTTCGGCCGTATTTTTCCACCTTTTTTTTCAATCAAAAACAAAAGGTTTGTGTATGGTTCAAAGAAAATTGAAATAAAAAACACGCCCGTCTTGTTTTTGTAAATTTATTGATTTTTATTTGAAAATCAAAAAC